GACCTGTAACATCTTCTGTCCATGAATGCAAATGTTGATGATTGTTTAAAAGGCTGTCCCTGGGGCAGTGCTGGCTCTTGCAGCCTCCAGCTGCTGCTCTTGGTACCCTGAACTGACCTCCTGGGTCTCTCCTGAGCATGGACGTTCCTTCCCTGAGGTGCAGTTCCTTGTCCAGCTTATCTCAGGGTGCACAAAGCATTTGGTCTGATGGTGCATGGCCACAATTCTGTTCTAGCTATGTCCACACAATGATTGTCATTCCAGTTAGAAAACAACCTTAGAGAAGAAAGTTATTGTGAGGAAGAATAAAAGATGGTCATGAGTATGATAACATTTACTAGATGATGGAAATTTCTAGAAGTAATCCTGGAAGCTGGCTGAAGAACCTCACTTGTCTTGTGTGTCTTGTCCCTCCTGTGCCTCTCTTTCCAGATAATAGTAGATGATGATGACAGTAAAGTCTGGTCACTGTATGATGCAGGACCGAGGAGCATTCGTTGCCCACTCATATTTCTCCCTCCTGTAAGTGGAACTGCAGATGTGTTTTTCCAGCAAATTTTGGCACTGACTGGATGGGGCTACAGAGTTATTGCTGTGAGTATCCTCAGTCCTGTGTCAGAGTTGGTGTGCTCGTGCTTGTTGCTCTAATCAGAAATTGGATAATGAACTTCTTAGTTTTGACTAAGGGAATCCACCAAAAACTTGCTGCTAAGTTGCACTCTGGAGTAGGTAGCGTGTAGATCCAGGCTGGAATCTGCTGTGTGTTCACAGCAGCATTTAACCAAAACCTTGTGCATGCACACAATTAACTTCTCGGCCTATTTTTCCCCTTGTGTGTCCTGGACACAAATCATTTTTGCCTCCGGCTGGATCTTTGTTAGTGCTGAGGCAAACACAGGAGTTAGTTCAGGGCTTCCATGTTTTCCTTGGGGATGGTGGATAATGTGGTTCTTAGCCCATATAATACCTGCAAATGCTGCGTCACTCCTTCAAACCCAGCCTGCTCTTCTGTGGCTTCCCAGCTCCTGAGCTGAACTGAAATGGTTGATTTGTACAATATTAAACAGCCTGGTTTTAGGAGTCCTGCTGTGTCTCTTGCAGCAGTTAATGATTTCTGTAGCTGTTACGTGCTACAAAACTATTGAAGAACAGTTACAGCCTCCCTTCCCACTGACTACAGGATGAGGCAATGCTGCACTTTCCCCAGCAAACTTGCTCTGCAGCACTTTGTGTATTTTTGTGTAAGTGAGGGGGAGGTGTTTGCACCCTTGGACTGTGGGGACCTTGCTGAGGAGCCTCACCCTGCAGGAGAGGCAGGTTGATGTCCCGAAACCTTTAATGTGAGAACCGGTATGACTTTGAAGCAGATTGATCTGAGACCAGCTTTTCCTAACTTTGTATAATTTTAGTTGCAGTATCCAGTGTACTGGGATCACCTCGAGTTCTGTGATGGATTCAGGAAACTGTTAGACCACCTTCAGCTGGATAAAGTGAGTGCCTGGAGATGGAGAAGTGCATGTATCCTTGCAGTAAAAACCTGATGTTTGAAAGAGTCTCGTTTGAGAACCAGTGTATAAAATAGGACACAAAAATGCAGGCTATAAATAAAGAGGCTGTGTTGCAATTTCACATTTGAAACTAGTTTATTTTTGAAGGTGAATACCCTTGGAAATTGTAACACTTGGCCTAAATTCAACTGCTACTCTATGCTTATTAAAATGTATGGGTTGACTTCAGTTTTTCATGAGATCCCATGGAAGTTATCATTCCTAACTCATATAGTACAGAACACCACAGTCAAGTACCTTGGGTTGGAATAGCTATGGAGAACAAAGTGAAATGTTCGGGGTTTTTCTTAAGCGTGATGAACACAAAGAAGTTTGCACTGTGATTCTGTGGAACATTTCCTTCTGTCAGTATTTATCACATTTATGTCACTCATAAAACCAGAAGATGAATAGAATAGTGATTGTTTCAAAAAATGGGTTATGGGGACAGGGTAAACTTGAATGACGTATTTTTGTCATCAAGCATTGTGGCTCAGAGGTTACATTTCACAAGTGTAACGTCATCTGTTTTTTGGGTTTTTTCCTTGTATTAGGTTCACCTTTTTGGAGCTTCTCTGGGAGGCTTTCTGGCTCAAAAATTTGCTGAATACACACACAAATCTCCCAGAGTTCAGTCTCTGATCTTGTGTAATGCCTTTAGTGACACTTCTATCTTCAATCAGACATGGACAGCAAACAGGTAAGGAAGACTGGGACAAGCAAGCAGACTTATGGCATTAATTTTTTGCAATGAAATGTCCCACTGATTGGGTTGGACATGTGTCTAATCTCATTCAACCTGGGTAAGGGAGGTGTGGGATGGAATGCTTATGACTTTTAAAGCTATACCACAAGGGGAGTGGAAATTTTCACAACTGAGAGTGTGGAATTAGACAAGTTGTTCTGTGATCCTCTGTGGATGTGTGGTCAGATTTAAAAACTCTGCCTGTTTTCTAACAAAAGTTTAGGGCAAGAAAAGTGTTCTTCATTGTGTTTAAAATACCCTTTTGCCATGTAAGATTAAAAGCCTCCCAGAACATTTCAAGCACCAAGCTGCCATGTTTTCCATCTCTCTGCTCTTAAAGCTTTTTCAGGATTTCATTTGAAGTTAAGGCACAAAGTCTGTGCAAGGAAAGGGAGCGTTTACAACAAAACATCTCAATGCTGGAGTCCTTGGTGATTGAAGATTGTTACATCTTGTTTCTGTTCTAGCTTTTGGCTGATGCCTGCTTTTATGCTGAAAAAAATTGTCCTTGGCAACTTTGCATCTGGTCCTCTAGATCCTGAGATGGCAGATGGGATTGATTTCATGGTGGACAGGGTAGGTATCCGTGTGCTCCAATGGCTGTGGTGTCATTCTGTAGATTTACTGAGCAGGAGGGTGTAGGGATTTCTGTGCTTTCTTCATTCCCTGGCCCAGGAGGGAGGAGTGAGGAATGGATCTTTAGCAGGTGCTGACTGTCACAGCCCCAGCAGTTTAACTGGTGTGGTGACTTTACCTTAGTTCTGTTTATTTATGTAGATCAAAAGAGAGGAAGTTAAGGAACTAAGATGAAAGAGGAGAAAGTACTGAGATACATCTGTAGGCCATTCCCTGGGGGCAGGAGCAACTAATGGAACATGCTCTAAGTGTTTGTCTCATGCAGACTAATACTGAGTTGGAATTATAACCTTCATCCATTTAAAACTATCTTCTCTTTGACTTTATTGTTCACATTACATTAACTTTCTGCAGTGAAATATGTTATTAAATCAGTGTTTCTCTCTCCTGCAAGCTGGAGAGCCTGGGGCAGAGCGAGCTTGCCTCAAGACTCACCCTCAACTGCCAGAACTCCTATGTAGAACCTCACAAAATCCGAGATATCCCTGTAACCATTATGGATGTAAGTTCATGTCAACTAAATTTTTTTCTTAAGCACTGTTTCCTCCCCTTGGCAGATGGGCTTGATATTCAGTTAGCAAGTTAGTAAGCATTTGCAGCATGTAACTTTGTGTTTAGGGAAGCCTTGTGCTGACTGGGCAACACTGTGACTCTTCTCTGCTACACTGAGTTGGATATTGGGTGCAGTAACTCAGCCATATGTTCCAGTACTCCAGCCTTGGCTTTCTATAGCTGTCAGTGCCCAACAAATTTGCTTGTTTTCATTTCATTACACTGTTCCACAAAGAAGCTGAGAGGCACTTCTAGGAGCAACACAGAGCCAGTCTGATGTAACAACAACATCTGAGATTCAGAGCTGACTGCTGGGACTTGTTCTGTAGGTGTTCGACCAAAGCGCGCTTTCGACGGAAGCGAAAGAAGAAATGTATAAACTTTACCCCAATGCCAGGAGAGCTCACCTAAAAACAGGAGGCAACTTCCCCTATCTCTGCAGGAGTGCTGAGGTCAACCTGTATATTCAGGTGAGTCTCTGAATTCAAACTCAATCTGAAAATGTGTTTAGCCACAAGAGCAGCAGGAAACTCCTGCTCTGTGCTTGTTTTGTTTCTTGACTTCCCTGAGCTCTGTGTGCTTGGAGATCTCTGATACCAAAGGGCAGGGTTGGAGCAGCCACATTCATGGAGGAGCAGCTTTTGGGGGTTTTCTGTTGTACTCCGGAGCCATGGTTTCATCCTGACAAAAATTACTTGGAAGGAATGTTTCTCCTTTATCAAAACAGTGTCCTTCTACAGCTGTTCCCGTGTTATTTCCCGTGTCCCACAGATCCACTTGCTGCAGTTCCACGGTACCCGGTACGCAGCCATCGATCCCTCCATGGTCAGCGCAGAGGAGCTGGAAGTCCAGAAGATCAGTCTTCACACCAGCAACGAGCAAGAAGAGCAGTAGGCTTGGGAGTGCCAGTGAAGCAGAGGCATCACTTTGGTGGTCTTCCTGTGTACAATCAACTGTTCCCACTCTGCCTTTTCCCTTGTGTTAGCCGATTATCACTGTGTGATTCCTACAGGATCAGCAATCAGTGAACTACCCACGGACAGAAACCTCCAGCAGTGTAATAGGATAGATCTCTTTAATTTTTAGTCTTTGGATTCAAGGAAGCATCTTTGAAGACTACACTTTTAAACAATAAAGACATTTTTTCTACCAAAGTCTTCACTGTCATGTTCTTAAGCAGAACAGTATATTTCTTTTTATATTTTTCACTTGGCTGTATATATTACCACATGCAGATTGTGTCCTTATAAGCTGACATATATTTTTGTTGAATGTTTGATTTAAAAGATGTTTAAGTGACCATGTTGCCATCACTTATTTGCTTCATATGTTGTGTTGTAAGTTAGCTTGTTTCTATTTGAAATAAAGCATTTGAATTTTTAACTTTCTTGCTGCTTAAAAATGGTTTTCAATAAAACTTCACTTTCAGCAAGTGTCTCTTGTTTTGACTCCAAGAGAACAGCAGTGGAGTTCAGTACAGTCCTGGTTTGCCTCTACAGACACCTCTGGAAATGAAGAAAACCAGCACCTTCTGCTTGAATTCCCCAAGGTTGCACTAAGTAAGAATGTTGTAGTGTTTTTTAAATAAAGATGACAAGATATAACTTGCAAATTTGAGGGTACGATCTAGATTTATTGAAATACAGACATTATTTTCCCCTTGCAATGCTGTAAAAAAGAAACATGAAGTATTAGATGATGAATTGGTATGTAAGGAAACTATATGTCCTTGCCAGAGGTTGTGTAGATAACTGATCTCTTGAGAAGATACAGTTTGAAAAGGTAAGAGGGGTCATTAGTCACTTATTTGATTTATAAACAGTACACCTATGTTAATGTAAACTTATAAACACGATATATGTTAATGTTGTTCTCAGAAACTTTTTGTGAAGAGTCAAAGCATTGAAGATCACAACCCCTAAGGTTCCAAAAGGACCAAATGGTATCTTTGATTTTGCTTCTTAAATTCCCACCATAAGAGGGAAGTGACAGACACCCCCCAATACAGTAAGTAAAGAACACTCCTTAAAACAAAGGCTTTTTACCCTCATTAACTTGAAAAACTGACAAAAATTTCTGTACAAACGTGCTGTAAATAAGTTACAGTAAAACAGTGTAATATTTCCTGATACAGTGTGACAAGTGAGGCTTGCTCACTGAACTCCCTTTACAGTACCCAGACCATAGGAAATTGCTGATAAAAATCTCCCTTCTGTGTAAAGAGGCATTTTTGACCACAAGCATTTGTTTTACCCTTGTCATTCCAGAGCCAGAAGGGTGCAGCAGTGCCAGCTGTTTCTGACAAGAAGCCCTTAAGTTGCAGCTGCCTTTGAGCAGCAGCAGAGAAGTGTTTTTTCTCCTGTAGCTCTGAGACCAGCAGAGGCTGCTCGCGGTGTTACATCGCTGTGCACTTCCGTGGAGAGGTGGAGTCTGCGTTGGCTTTTTTCCGGATACTTTCTGAAAGAGAGAATGTTCTGCTGCACGGAAGTATGGAGCCATGGCAGGAAGAGGAAAGAAATGACATGTAATGGAAGCAAGGGGGAAGGGCAGGTGCTTTCAGCTTGTGTGAATTGGCTTCACTGAAGTTTTCCTCTGTGTGTGTTGTGTAACCCCAGAGTTCAGATAAATTGATTTAAATAATGCTGAGTGAAGGAAGACAAAAGTATTACCTGCTAAATCTCTTCTTCCAATCCCCACAAGGCCTTCGTACAGCCCCTTGATTGGATTTTCTCCTGCAGTATTCACGCCATGGAGCCAGATCAGCAACATCCTGTGGCCGTGTTCCCTGTAGCTTTTAGTGCCTGGCAAGATCAGACCACAAATGGAATCCCACCCTCAGAGTGCATGGCCCTGACTAGAGCAGATTTCTGAACTGGTGGGTCTGGACACCCCTTCCTTTGGATTTTACTAGGAGGCTCCAAAGTATGGTTTAGCTAATTTCCTGGTTGTGGTCTGCTGGATTCATGTGAAATTTATTGGAGTGGCCCTGCATGAGCTTGGACTTGTTGGCCAACCTTTCATGGCAATACAGAATTTCTGCCTTCGGAGCACAGCTTGGCCCCTTGCTCACGTTATCCAAACTACAGAGTCCTGACAGGAGCCAAACCAGACCCTCAGACCCTCCTTCTGTTAATGTATCTCTTAAACTCTAAATGGAACTTCACTACCTTCTTGGTTCATATCCTTCAAAGAAAAAAATAAAACTAGAAAGTTTCTCATGTTCTATAGAACAAGAACTGTAGCAAGAACCCACCAGCCTGGTAAGTGCCTCTTAAGGAATGAGCAATGAACCACTAATCCCCCTGCTTGTGTACTTTACTCCTAGACAAATTCCACTGTGTAGGTAAGTCCGCATTCATTAAAAGCAGAATTTTTAACCTAATCTTTAGGTTGTTTCAAATAAACCAACAGGTTTCCTTCATGCTTTGCTCTTACTGCAGCTGAATCTCCGAGAAGCACAGTTCAAGTGAAGGAAGGAAAATACCTGGGAAATTTTTATACCTGTCCATTGTTGCTCAATGGCCCTAATGTGAGCATCTGTGAATTTCCAATAATGTGCCAGCTTCTTCCATTCCCCAGGTTTGAGGTACTTAGTGGCTAATCTCCACATGACTGAGCGAATGTGCTGTGTTTCCAGCCTGTGATCTTGCTTAAAGGTCAAGTGCTTTGCCACCCATGAGTCGGAGTCGCTGTTCAGGTTGTCCTGCAAAGCCAGAACAGGGGTTTCAGTCGGGGTGCTGCAAGGGTGCCTGTCGTTCTGCAGCCTCCCACACCCTCAGCTCTGCAGGTCGCTGCAAGTTCATTCTGGCACAGCACTTTTTTTTTTACTCTCTTTATTCCTGTTTTGCTGTGTACTAACCAGGCACTTTAACAAAAAACGTTAAAAGCCGCTTTGCTGGAAAAACCCATGTGGATTGTGATTTCCATTTCTATACTGCTTTTTATCTGGCCTTGGTGCAGGATCATTTAATTAAATCTCCTGCTTCCCTGCAACACAGGCTTGTGCTCACGGCCTTTACATGCCCTGCTGCAAAGAGGCTGGATGACATTCCCTAGGGCTGCATGGGAAGCCCATGAAGGGCCTGATCTACACTCCTGAAGCTGTGCCTGAGCCACAGGTGTGTGCCCTCCTTTCCTTCCTTTTCTTCTCCCTCTAGAGTCCTGGTATGGGAAAATGCACAAAATCTTAAGACACGAGGGATGTGGCATTTGGCTGTACTTTCCACATGCCCTGCTCAGCTTGGTTTGGGTACAGGCCTGGGGAAAGCAGGGTTTCAGGTGGCAGACTGGGGCTGAGCAGCTGCAGTTTGAGAGGAAAGCTGGTTGTATGACTCCAACGAGAACTGATCACTGCTCTCAGGAGGAGTTCTCTTCCACTGCTGAAAAACTCACCATGTCCCATTTGGTGACATTAGGCCAAGCATTTTCCTGCTCAGTCCTTCAATTTTTCCTCGAAAAAGGAACAAATGCTATCCAACCCCCTTCTACAGGGCTTTGGGAACAGCTGTCAAAGAACCTTTGAAAACCTCTATTCCTGGCAGCACAGCCTGGGATTTCTAACAACAGGGGCCTTTTTAAATAAGGAAAGCCTTAAGTAGATGCTGTTGGCACCATGAAGACTTCTGTTTTTCTTAAGTAAGGGGATGAAAGTTGAGGTCAGGCTGCCACAGGATGCCCTGTATTTCTTTTCCTTTGACAGCTGGTACGTGGAGTCTCAATGGAGTAGACGAAGCTCCACCTGCCCTGGAAAGGGCAGGGGATGGTGTGTGAGCTGCTCACCTTTTCCCATTTGTAAAACCTATCGGCTTTGATAATCATGTCCACCAGGTTGATGTGATTGCCTCGGGCAGCGACATCCAGAGATGTTTTCCCCTGCTGAAATTAGAAGGGGAAAATGAGCTGGAAAAGACCTTTCACCTTAGGAGGTACAAGCTCTCTGTTACAGCAGCAGGACTATTGAGTAATGCACCCAGCCAGGACCTACTCTCCACCTATAAGCAGCAGATGTGAGCAGAAACCAAATTTCACACGGAGAAGTGTGAATGTGTTCCCTGACTGAGTGTCACTGTAGTTCCACAGAGTGCTGATGGGTGGCAAGTTCAGCCAGGTGGCTTCAGGTCTGCATGTGCTCTAACCCACTGAGGATGGCAAACACTGCTTTGCTCTCTGCTCAAGCCTCTTCAGCATTTTCTGGGCACATACCACACTTTCAAGCCACACCACACTTTCAGGCCACATGCAATTTACCTGATGCTTCTAGAATTCTTTTGATATTTAATTAGAGGGCAAAAGCCCTGGAAACAATGCCAGATCTAGATCAGATACTTTATCCTATTAAAATGTGTGCTGTGATTCTTAGGGTATTATTGCTTATCATTATTTGAGATCTTTGATATTAATGTGTGCGATAGCACAAGTAGAAGCAGAAGAAACTAGATCAACTTTGAGAAAGAAAAGGTTGCTCATTGTGTGAACTGTTGTCTACCTGCCTTTCTCTCCTGGAAAACACAACAAAATAACCTATTCAGCAGTGTTTTAAGGCCTTATCCCTGGAAATATCCAGATTTTAATATTACTAGCCTTCCTTGGAAATTATGAAAGACAGTGGCAAAGACTATCTATATTTTTCCTCCATACTCCCACAGGACCTATTCAACCCATGGAGACTTTACCTTGTCTGTCAGCTTCAGGTTAACTCCTGCAAGGAGAATCATCTCAGCGATGTCCTGCCTGCCGTGCTCTGCAGCGATGTGGAGTGAGGTCTGCTGCCTCTGCACAGGGAGGGAGAAAGGACTACATTTCAGAGAAGGACAAGTGTGAAGCTGGAAGGACAAGGCAGAACATTACCAGGAGGAAATGCTGTAAGAATGCTGTCAGCTCTGCCCTCCTTTCCCCTCTACCCCTTTTCAAGCTGCAGGTTAAACACCCTCCTACCTCCAACTAGAGTTGGTTTCCTCTGGCTGAGCAGAACTGGTCTGTCCCTGTCCCAGGACCAGCATTAAGAAGCCTCCCTGATCTAATCCTCTAGACTTCAGTCTAGATAAGGAACATCTTCAGCTCCATAAGGCTCTCTAGGGTCACTTATAGGATTATATTATTTCCTATTATTTAAACAATTTCTGTGGGCAGGTAATTTGGCCATGGGAGGGAAGGACCTGTGCCAGTTCTTTGTTCCTGGGACACAGGGCTGGGTTAATGTCCCCCCTTGGGATTGTTTAATGGAAACAAGTAAAATCAAACACAAAATGTGGCAATTTTATGGTGTTGTCAGGAGGGAACATTGCTACAAGAATGAACATTAACTGAAACAAGCTACACAAAGCCCTTCATTCAGAAAATTACAACTTGGTGAGACAACCAGCTATCTGCAGGCTTGCCTCCCGTTCTCAGCCCTCCAAATGTTTTGCAGAATATCTTCCAGTTTCTCCCACTTGCTTCCAACAAGGAGGAGAGAGCTGACTGCAGTGCTGCTGTGCACAGGTCCCAGGGATGTGGCACAGCCCATGTGTTGAATGCCATCGAGCAATTATCTCACTGCAACACTCAGAATCATTTCACAGGTTTCACATTTCCTAAGTTGCGCTTCCGGGTTTTCCACATTTTAAAGCACTTCTCTTTAACCCTGTCCCCAAGGTAATCAAATCCCCCCTGAAACTGGTTGACATTTCAAAGACAAAGAACAGGAGCTGCAGTCTTACATTATCTGGAATGTCAAGGTCACACCCTGCCTCGATGAAGAGCTTCACCATGGCTGGGAAGTTCTGCAGGACCGCGATGTGTGTCGCTGATGCATTTTGCTGTTGAAAGAAGACCTTGTGCTTAGGAAGAGCTCAGCTCATGGCACTGAAAGGACCATGCTGTGCCCAGCATATCTTATTCTATCACAGCTGCCACTCAGCACTGGGGGCTGACTGGGGATATTGCAGCACTGGTCCTTGCAGAGTTGCTTGGTGCTCTCAAGCAGCTCCACAGACTTCGCCTTTTTTAAGTGGTGAGAGCATTGAGAAGGACTTACATGATTAACAGCATCAGTGTGGATTCCTGCATCCATGAGGATCCTGGCTATCTCCTCATAGCCATGCAGAGCTGCATAATGAAGGCAGTTCATCTTCTTCTGAGAGGCACCTCAGAAGAGAGCGGTGTTAGTCAGGGCTTCTTCTCAGAGGCTGCAATTGGTACAGACTACACACGGAAAGCTCCCTGCTTCCCTCCTGCAAGAGCCCATGGCCCGACACTGACAAATTCATGGAGATTGTCTCCACAGCCAAACCAGTCCCAGGGAGCTTCACCTGCCTTTTTGTACAAAACCATGTCTACCTTCCTCTGGTCTCCCTGCGCTGTTCCTTAATGCTGGGCTTCACAAGGCCCAACCTGGGAAGCCAGGCATGAATCCACAAAGTAGTGCTTGGAAATGGAATGACCTCCATGGAGCTAACCTGGGTCTGGGCATTGACATCAGCTCCTGCTTCCACGAGCAGCTTCACAGAGTCCCTGTGACCCCCCTCAGCAGCCAAGTGCAGAGCTGTAAGGCCTTCCTGGACAAGGCAGAAAAGGACATAGGCAGCATTTCTATAGGCAAGGCCAAGACAGAGCAGCAGAATGAGCAAGACTCTATCCCATCTTCTGAATCCATGACATGGTAAGGTACCAGTTCTGAGGGTCAGGGATCTGGAACTGGAAACCCATGACCCTCAACCAGATTCTCCCTTCTGAGGGTTGTAGCTCATTTCTTTACAAGAAAACAGAAACAAGCAGAATTCTTAAGTGATTTAATCTGGTTTTATTACTGCTCTTTGAACAACGGGCAGCTCATCTGGGGGGAGACAAATGCTACTGGTTAACACAGAAGGTGGCTTCCCCTTTGTTTCAGATCTTAATCACAATCAAATACACTTTTCAAAGACAGTAATGAAACAAGACTAAAAAAAAAATGCTGATAAACTTAATTGAGAGTGTGCCCTGGAATAAATAACAGCGATACTAAGCCAATATTTGCCATCTAAATCATTAGCTGTGTTCCAGCCACGTATTTTTCCAGAGCAGACCTGTCAAAAGGGAGATCTCAAACAGAAGGTCCATATGTTCAGTGACTAAGTCAATACTATAAAGCATGGTGCAGTTTAGTTTAAAACACATTCAAAAACCATTTAGGCACTTGAATGTCTAAGGGTCATGGAGAAAAAGGGAGATTAAATGGAGTGATAAGGTAGGTCAGCAGATACAGCAGGAAGAGAAGGCAACACTTTAGAGCTGGAAATCGGTCCAAGACGGATGTTGCCTTTCACTGATACTCTTCAAGTGGCACCTGGATTTACCCATGCAGGCTTCAGATAAAATCAGCTATTTTCTAGACCTCTCCTGTCAATACTGACTATTCAGCCTGGTGACTGTGGCAAGAATGTATTTCTAGGGAGGAAAAGGGCGAAACTGATGTGGTTACTATTTCATTTAAATGTACTTACTGAGTTTTTTTCATCAAGGTCCACTCCAACACCTATAAGCTTCTGCAGCACAGACAGGTGTCCATTTTTAGCAGCTAAATGCAATGCTGTATTTGCTTCCTGAAAGTAAACATCACTTTGTAAATATATGTATCACAGGACTGTGTGTTCATACACCACAACCTTGCACAGAGTATATGCAGTGTGTCTGAGAAGGAGGTTGTAACCAGTAGCATGAGACTGAAGCAATCTTCTAATAGTTGCAGCAGGGAGGGAAGAAGCCCAGCTACCTTAAACTGGAGCATAGTATACCAGGCTTGCTGCATGTCCTGTTTGAAAAGCCCTGGAGAGAAATCCAACATGGACTGAGGTGCAAATGGCTTGCAAGTGGATAGGGGAGAAAAGCTCTGACATACCACAACCATAGTTAAAACTATGGAAACTCGCCTTCATGAGCCTTTTGGTATCCTCTTCCCTGATTTTCATACCCATATCATTGGACTTCACTTCCCTTGTGTGTCATTGTGTGCCCATACCTTGTCTTTGGCACTGCGAGAACAACCCAGTCGAATGAGGAACTCCACCACCTCTAGTCTCCCATACTCTGCAGCCAGGTGAAATGCTGTCCTGTCCATCTGGGAAAGGAAACAAGGAAACACAGTCCAAAGAGGCTCAGGAAGCAAAAGATCAGGTCATCTGCTGCAAGAAATACAATGATGCCTTGGGTAATAACCCATTCCACAAAGGGCAGAAGTGCTGCAGTTCTTTTATTCTGCTGCTTTTATTCTGTGTTATATTTGGGATGACCCTAATAAAACAAGGTGAACAGAACTACCCACTGGGGCTAACAAGCATGTTGGTCTCACCAAACACTGGAAGAGGTCTTTTCAGTGGTTATTTCCTATAAGTGGAGCATAATAAATAATTTATTAAAAACAACTAAGGATTAAAAAATTGACTTCATATCTAAGCCCCCAGTTATAGGGTGAGTGAGGACCCCTTTGGGGGAAAGGCAAATCTCTTGTTGCTTCATTTAACTCCCAAGCATCAGAGTGGGGATCACTCTTGGAACCATGAAGGCCATGGAGCAGAAAAGAATGTGCACTAGCTCCTGCAGGTTCTTATGCCATCTCCAGGAACAGATCAGCCAGTGCTGGAACATGCTGAGAGAGGTTCAGCCTTGGTTATTACTTACCTACAACACACACAGGAGCATCATCAGCAAGAGAGTATGGCACTGAAATTCCTGAATTTATTCTGCAAAAGTCCTGGCTGCTAGAAGTTTAACCAGAGCCAGAATCCCCATGATCCCTAAGCCCACTCCGCAGGAAGACTTCTGGGAATAGCATCTGACTCCAAGTCTCTACCCAAGACCAACAGCAACATCCCTGCTAAACTCAGCAGAGTAATATCAGACCTCAAGAAACAAAGCAGTGATGAGCTGTCCTACCTTGTCTGTCTCATCCACACACACATCCTCCAGGACCTCCATGATGAACTCTATGATCTGGACGTGTCCCCTCTGGGCAGCACAGTGGAGTAAGTTCCTGCCATTCTGGAGAGGAGATAAAGGACAAGTCCAACTCTGTGAGACAGTCTCTTTTGACAACCTGCTCCTTTTAGCAAAGACCCATTCCATGCCTCCCTGCACCTCTAGGGCTACACTTCCTTGTGCTGCAGACAGCAAGTTATGACTGGAGTATTAATGCTGCTTTTCCCAACCAAGGTCTGTCTTAGAATACCCAGACTGCTGACCCACTAAACCCATTTCCCACTTCTGTAACACCTTCCACATCAGCACTGCACAAACATGAGCTGAGGATGCTGTGTGCATCTCTATAGCTCCAATTACTGGATTACAGCTGTTTTAGGAATAAGGCAGAGTGCAGATGGCAGTCCCCAGAGTAGGTGCTGTCACACAGGACTACCTAACCACAGGTGAGTCTCTCTCCATCCCTCAGCACCATCTAGAGCCGTGTGATGGACCCACACAGGGAGACTCTCACCCTGTTGACACGGTTAGTCTTGGCCCCAGCGTTGATGAGGATCTGCAGGACATGGAGGTGGCCAAACCAGGCAGACAGGAGAAGAGCATTCATTCCAAACTGGGCAGAAGAGAGATACAGTTAAACTGCAGCCACCACCATCCCCACCGTGGAGGAAAGCTGTCCCCTTAGCTTCATGCAGTTTCCCAAATCTATTTGTTTCTCACTGTTATTTTTTTCTAGCCTCACTTTGTCCAGTTATTACTATTCCTGCCACAGATATTCACAGCAGCTCAGCAGAGACCTGCCTCCAGACTGCCACTTCCTAGTTAATGGTGTGTGTTTGCCTGGGGGAGAGAGAATTTGCTGACTGTCTCTGTCATCCCACAAGCCCCAACAATATGACCAGAAGAAGCCAAGCATCCCCATGCTCTACAGAAAACCTCACAGATTCCACCAGCCTACTCCCAGTCACTGTGCATGCAAGGAAAAGGCCAAAAGACAGAGCACAGACACCTCTGAAAACAAGTCTCGCTCCAGCCCCTTGCTCAGCAGGTGCCATGTGCCAACCCTGTGCCACCCACCCAGGGCTAAGGTGAAGTCTGTCACTGCTGGCCCAGCACCCAGTCCCTGGCACTCCCCCAACACTGAACACATTTGCAGGACATGCAAGGGAGAGTCGCCTCTGTACACTGTCTTCGTCATCCACGGGGACATCGTGACCCAGGAGCAGCCGCACAGCATCCACATTCCCTGCTCCCGCAGCCCAGTGCAGGGCACTCCGGTCTGTCTGGAAGGGAAGGATAGAGAAGGAAGGCTCATGTATGCAGAGTGTGTGTGTGTATCCACCAGCCTTCCTGAAGCCCAAAATCTCCTTGGCCAACCATGGAGCCAGAATTTCTCACACTGTGCAGGGTCTTCTTTGGACACGACCCTCTGTCTCTCTCCTCTCCTGTCAGGCAGGTGTTAGTCACCTTCCACTGAGGAACTGCAGGTCTGGGCTATAACAACAGCACAGGAGTGAAGAACATTGCTGCCCATCAAGGGACAGACTGAAACAGTAGGGATGTGTGTAATCCCATATTTCCATGAAGATATTGGTCAACAAGGAGAGACCTGCACCAGGGACTGAGTTTGTCCCACAGCCTTGGCATGAAGAGATAGCAAAATCAAAGCCTTTCATACTGTCTGTATCTGGCACAGAGGTTACAAGGGGAACCATAAATGATCACCCTCCCTCAGCACCTGCAGCTTTCCAGTGTGGTCAGGATGATAGTGGGGGTCTCAGTGTGTTGAGGAACTGCTTGGTTGCCACAGGCTCTATTTAGCACAGGGTGGTGTATTTTAAAGCTTTGACCAATTAAGCAGCTAATGAGAAGAGCAGCGTTAAGGAGCTGCAGTTCTGAAACATGCCCTCAGCACTTCCTGCAGTTTAGAGGTGGAAAAACCCAGGACTTACATTGTTTTTGGCTTTGATGTCAACCCCTCTCCTGATGAGCTCCTCCATCCTGGCCGTGTCATTCCGCTTGGCTGCGTCATGGAACTCCTTCTCTGACTGAAGCACTGCAGCAGAGCAGAAGAGTGAGCATTAAAACAGTGCTGGCAAGGAGCATAGGGCAGCATGCCCCAACAAACCTCCCCTTCATCTCACTGGCCCCTGTGGCTTCAGGGAAGGGTGACTGTGGAAAGATTCTTCCAGCAAGAATCCCAGTCCTGTAGATGTTGGCATTTGTCCTCTCCCACTGTCTCTCCTTCCCTGAGTATCCCTGTGCCACATCAGTGCTCTTCCAATCCTACTCACTTCTCTTCTAATTCAGTCTCTTTCTCTTCATGGATTTGCTCCAGCTACAAAATCTTTTGGTCTATGAGGTCCATGTCCTCTGGGCCATGTCCTCTGGGCACCTCTAAGGCCCAGAGCCTATGTAAAGGCTCTGACACGTCACCCTTTCCTCCATCCTTCCACCTACATCCCACCACTCAACAAGGAGGCCTTTGCACATGGTCCTGCCATCCCCCTTCCAGGCAACCTGAACCATCCAAGCAGCACAGAACTGCCAGCCTGGCCTGTGATTAGTGTTGCATCTCTTAATAAACTGTGGCAGTTCTGCATATAATTTACCACGACTGGCAGTATTTGTCCTGCACAGTTAGGCACAATTTAAGAGTGTTTACTCTCCGTGCTGGGCCTTGCCCCAGCAATCTTCTCCTTGATCGAACAAAACTTCCTGCCAAGAAACGAGAGTAAAGCTGTGACTCTGGGGCTGCCACAGCCCCACAGGGAGGCTCTGAAGGTTTTTGGCACGGCTGGTGTCAGTCTTTTTTGGACTCGGTCTCTGCCCTACTGCTTTTGGGAAATTCTTTCAAGAAGTGCTTGACTCAGATCCTCAGCCTATAATATTCCACTGGAGAGCTGTCCCAGAGGCTTTGCTTTCTCCTATGCTGCTGCAGAGCTCAGGCTGCAGTTTGAGCATCTCAATGCTACTTCAGGGGCTCAATGCCACTTCAGTTGGTTTCAACTTATCAACTAGACACTAACCACATGCCAAACAAGAGGTGTCAAAACATATTATTGTTCCCATTCCACCACACTGAGGAGATAAACAGGAGATTTGCTGCCTAAATAGCACTACCCCATTTTTCTGCTCAGAAGACACAGAAGAAAGGCAACCCTACTGTGGACTCTTAGAGCAACAGAGGCATAATCTCATCCTCCAATTTCGATTCCCCTTACCTTCAAACAAAAAACTTTAGCTCAAGAAAACCACAAATAATACAACAGGATCATTCAATAGTGTGTTTATCCACTTAACACCAGACACGATCATCTGAGAGTGTGCATTCCACAATGTTGAACCTGCTGCTACAATTGAACCTGCTGTCCAGGATTTGGACACTGATTTCTGCAGAAACAGGATTTCCTGTACTGTATATTAAGACTCTGTTATCATCTGGTCAGGGATGTTAACAGGATTGCATTTCCACACTACATGGACCCTTGATTTGAGAGGAAATATCAGGAGAACTTACGAAAAACACGTGGAGTTTTTGTTAATTATCAACACCAAGGGCGACACACACACACCTCCTTGTAAATGCTACTCTTTCAGTGGAGTAAATTCTATGTTTCAGCTAAGAAAATGCTGCTGCCCCTGCTCTCCAAGTGACAGAAATGTGTTGTTACATTTTATGGTCACACAAAGCATCATCGCCAAGAGATGCCAAAGCACCCCTTTGCCTTATTTATTCTCTCCTCTACCTGTAAAGATGCAGTAACAAACCCGGCATCACCAAGGCTGTAGAAGCCACAATTTATCTATTTTCAGCAACACATGGAAAACCATTTGGTGGTCTGAGTTTTCTGTTTAGGATCCACATGACTCTGCTAGCTCTGTAAATGTAAATGCACTCCTCATCATGGCATAAACCCATCCAAGAGCAGCATTTTGGTGGATATTTAGCAGTTTTACTTCTCTTTCAAGCTCAGATTCCAGAGTGTTTTGTAATTTGTGTTACTGAACATGAATTCAGTTATCCCAAACAGCGTGGAACACATTTTAAATTATTTACCCTCAGTCCAATGCACCAACTCGTGGGCAATTTATTATGCAAGAGATGTAAAAAAGCAGCAAAGGAGATGAAAGACATGTAAAGAAATGTGATAAAACCATCCACAGGGCTCTAGCTGGAGCTGCAGGACACAAAGACAACCCAGGATGGGGACCAGGGGATAAAGGGGGCCAAAACCCCCAAGTGGGGGGTACTGGAGTTATATGCAGCATCTCAGGGGTACAGGATGCTTTGAGGCAAAACAACTCTTAATTCACGCGTAGCTTTATACACCTGCTTTGTTTCCGAACGCATTTTCATACATCTGGTTATTCCTTGGAGCATCGCCGCTCTGTCCCTGACCCCCCCGGCGCCCGCCCGGCCCCGCTACACGAATCCCCCGCCACGGCCCGGCGCCCCCCGCCTCGGCCCCACTCACGGGTGTCGCCCTCCGACGCCAAGTCGTCGCCCATGTCGCGACACAGCGGCCCCGCCGCGGCCGCCTCAGGGCGGGCTGACAGGCGCGTCCCCGCCGCCTCAGGGCGGGCTGACAGGCGCGTCCCCGCCGCCTCCGGGCGGGCTGACAGGCGCGTCCCCGCCTCCTCACGGGCCGCCCCGCCGCCGCAGAGCGCCTCTGTAGCTTCTCTTTAAAGCAAAATATCGTAAAATAAGCTCTCCTCCCGACAAACGCGGTTTTCTCGGGCCGTTTTGGCGTGATTTGAGGGGGTACGTGGAGCTGCCGCCATTCCGGCCGGGTGCCGCCCCTCACCTCAGCGCGGCTCTGCTGGGCGCTGCTGCTTGGAGGTGGTGGGTGGTTTAATTTAAAATTAATCTAATTCTCTTTCCGAAGCAATTTAGGAGGAGAGGGATTTATGTTCTGTGAGAAATACGGGGTGAGTTGTTGCTTTTTTTCCCCTGAAAGCAGAGTCAGGATTTGGTGTTCTCAGGGAATTAGGTGCTCTCATTACCACAGGTCCGACAGCGAGTGCAGGAGGGGGCAAAAGGGCTTTTCCCTCAGAGTTTTAGTGAATTCTCCATTTTCAGCATCTGTGAGTGGTTTTGTATTTTATTTTCTTCTCCATTTTGGTAGTATGATGAGGAAGGAACCAGGCTGAGCTGAGGCTGAGGGGAGAATCAGACCTGTTTCTGTGGGTCCCCCAGACTAATCCCCCCTGGAATACTGCATGTGACTCTGGAGCTCCCCAACGTAAGAAGGATGTGGGATTGATGGAGTGAAGTCAGAGGAGGCCACAGAGATGTTTCAAGGTCTGGAGCACCTCTGCTGTGGAGACGGGCTGAGAGAGTTGGCATTGTTCAGTCTGGGCAGGAGAAGGCTCTAGGGAGACATTATTGTAGACCTTCCACTACCTAAAGAGGCTCCAAAAGAGCTGGAGAGAGACTTGACACAGGCCTGGAGTGATGGGACAAGAGGGAATGGCTTCAAACTGACAGAGAGCAGCGTTAGATGAGATTTTGGGAAGGATTCTTCCCTGTGAGGGTGGGGAGGACCTGGCACAGGTTGCCCAGAGAAGCTGTGGCTACCCCTGGATCCCTGGAATTGTCCAAGGCCAGGTCGGGTTTTGGAGCAATCTCCTCTAGTGGAAGGTGTCCCTGCCTATGGCAGTGAGGTGGAACGAGATGAGCTTTAAGGTCCTTTCCAACCCAAACTAGTCTATGCTTCTTTGTTGGTGGTCTCAGGATAGGAGAGGTGACATCAGGTCTGTATTCCCTCCCTGTACCATGCTGGCCCACAGACTTGGTCCTTGTCAGAACTCCCTGGAGGAGTCTCTTCCAGCCCTCCCTCCTCTCTGTACCGCTGGTTTTGGCTGGGAGCACATGCTGATCCCAGTCACCACATGAGGGTGCCAGTGCTGTTCACCTGCCACGATTTGCTGCTCGAGCAGTAAACTTCAGGGTGCAGATGGGGATGTTCCCTGGGCTAAGGCCAGTTTTGGGGGACACCTCTGTCCCGGGGACCTTTATGAGGGTCTGTGATGCTCCTGTGAGAGAGCACGGGGCATTTGGTGCAGTGGAAGATGTGGGGAGGCAAACAATGTCCTGGAGGGATGCAGAGATGCAGAGATCCTCTGCTTCTCCAGACACGTCCCTCTGTGGGCACAGTTACACCAGAGCTGTCTGCAGGGTAGGGAGATGGTGTTTTCCGACTCACTAAAGCCCAGCACTGAGGGTCTTGGTAGCCAAAGCGCTTCACTGATGCAGTGGGACCACGAGCCTGCCTGATTGTGAAATGGAGAGGTGGAACCTAAGCTCTTGAGCAAACACAGAGTGTGGGGGGGTTTATGGGTAGCTCTCAGAGCTTTGGATTTGTGTTTTGTTTGCCTTTTATTCAAATTGAATTAAAAAAAAAAAAGACCCTCTCTCTGGTAGGAAAAACGAACATAAGGTCTGTCTGGATAAAGGGGAAGCCCTTCTTTTGTACAATAGCTCAGCGGGTAGGGCATCCTCCCCAAGGAAGGGGGAAAGCTGGGCTTGATCCTTGCTTCTGCCAGAGGGGAGATACAAACCCTGGGCCACAGAGACCCCAGAGAGCACCGTAAACAGCAGGCTGTGAGCGTGTCTGGTGCAGAGAGTTTTCCTTGCTCTTTCCTGCTATTTTAAATAATTAATGATTTGATGGATCAGGGAGTGGAGAAGGCAGGTGTCCTGTCTCCCTGGAGAGCAGTCTGTGCACCCGGCGAGACGGAGCCTTGCTCTTTCTCGATGAATATTTAAGTGTCTTCAGACAAACTGGAACGGTGCCAGTAGGAATGGCTGAGAAGGGCTGAGCCCTTCCCACTGGGTATCCTAGTGCCTGGGGGCTGGGGAAACAGCCCTGAATAGGGCAGGGAATAAGAATAATCCCTGCTTGTACGGACTATGGAAGTACCAGGCATCCCAGCCTTAGGTGGGACCTCCGGCTCTTGCTAGTCTTTTGTTATGCTGTGAGGCATCCTTGGATGGAAGGCTGTCTGGATTTAACCTGCCGATGTTAATGTCATTGTCATTGTCTTCCAGAGCCTGAATCAGCCAGGACTGATCATCCACAGCTCTTCTGCTGCTTAATGCTGACCTTGGGAGAGAAGTAGTGCAGATGTACGGAAAGTTCGCATCTGTTTGTGAGCTTGGGTGTTTCCAGCAGGCAGAAAAAAGCAATGTAGGCAGTTCCTTCTGTCCTTCCTGAAGAGGTATGTGTTCAGGGGTGGAAGGGACCAAGCCTTTCTGCTGATACCAAGTACAGAATGCTGTGACAATTTATTAACGACACTGAACGCTTGCCTGGCGATCCATTTATTAGCTAACAGACCTAAAAGAGCTTCTGGATTTTTCCACTAAGGTTGTAGCATAACGAATGATAGGGGGAGGTGGTAATTTGATCTCTTTTTACAATATATTCCAGACATTGACCCCATCTTCAGAATGGTGTTAAAGTCTTTGACTTTCTTTCACTTGAAGAATAATTTTAGGTGAGCCAGCTACGTGCTCTTTGTCACTTAGAAGTGAAACTCTCCAACAGAGCATTCTGTGCTCTAACCTTGCATGCACAATTTTTATGTACTGGTTTAGGATAATCATTATTTTCAATCACATTCAAAAATCACCAGCCAGGCTGCTTAAATCCATATCATTTTAAAATGTGCCTCTGTTAGCTCTCTGGTTTAGGTATATACGCCGTGATTTTAAAGTCGGTCAGATTTGCAGTTAGCCATGTAATGCAGCCCACAAACCAGTATGTGTTTATGCAGAAACAGTTGCTTACCTAAAGGTTTAGCAAATTGGACTTTAATTTATAATCTTCCTTTGGAAGCAAAACTGGAAGGTGACTCCTCCTGCCTGCAGCTGCCTGTAGTTAGGGAAGCCAAGCCTCTGCTTTCCTGGAGCTGCCCACAGCAGGGGAGCCTGGCTGGGGAACAGCCTCCATCCCTGGAGGATTGTCTTTTCTGACATATGCTGCCACAGCCAGGGAATTGAATATTGCGTGGGAGAGGGGATGACCACGTTCCTCTTTCACCGCTGATGGTCTGTTTTTACATGACAGGGCGTCAAACAGCCCAGTGTGCTGAGGTAGCAACCATGGGCTCTGCCTGGCAGCACCTAAACCAGATCTTTGGGCTCTGTGGTACACAGCTGCCATTGATGCTGTGAGGAATTGTATGTTTGTGCTGCTTACTGTCCCTGCTGTGGCTATGAAAGGGACTAACCATACCAGTTCTGTGTTCTGGCTTGCAAACTGTGCTTTCAGATATGTCCCATTAGAATGGAATACACGTTACAGCTCTGGCTACATGGCTTCATGTGTGGCTCCAGTTTATTTATTTTTGTCTGTGCTAGGCTTTTAGTTGTTCTGTAGACTAGGTTATTTTTGGTGCTTTCTTTGATAACTCTGTTCCTGTGACATGCTGTGGAGCCAGAACTCCTCTGGGAACATACCAGCAATGCACACAAACATCAGCCCTGTAGCTTCTAACTGTCAACATATGGAGCTTTCAGAAGGCCTGGATACCTAATGGGACTCCAGAAACCCACTCTGGAAGCTTGAGAAGCCATCCAGCACTTTCCTCAAAGGCTGCATTCATTTCCTTGCAAGGCTTCCACAGAGGATCAGCTTGTTAGAGGGACCTGTGGAGCTTGGAAGCTTTGCCAGTAATAATTCAGGCCCAATTTTGAAGTCAAATATTTAGCTAAACAGAGACTGTCTGATGACTGGATTAAACACAGACTGCATCTGAGTGAGCTCAACACTTCAGGTTTTTGTCAGTGTCCATTTCACGAGCCTATAATTCCATTTTTCCTGTCTTCCCAGACTCTGCTCATCCTGTGTCGTGTTTCAGACAGCACAGAATGAGGTATTTCAGCAGAGCTGTTGCTCCTAGCTCAGAAAGCAGCCTGAATCACAAAGTGATGTTCTCTGCTTTAGGCTTAGGAGTAATCCAGTATTATGGGATTGGGAGGAAATCACATTGGAGAAATTGAAGGGTTTGTTTGTTTGTTTGCAAGAAAAAGTCTGAAGGAAGTCAGAGTTGTCAGAGAGGGTTGGTGAGTGAGCCTTGCCCTGGGAGACTCTGCTGCATGGTGTTGACACAGATAATTCAGTGCATGTAACTGGAGGTTTCAGCTGGTGATTTTGCACTTCCCTCTCCAGTCACTCTCGCTTCCCAAAGCCGATAGGCCTTTAAATCCCTTGAAAAGATAAATGGGCTTAAGCTTCTATGTAGCTTTGAAAGTGAGGCTTACACATAATTAGCACTGTGGCCGGGGTTGTTCCTGGCGATCAGGTCACTCCTGTTGATCCCTGACCTCCACACAGAGCTTACTGACACTATATCTTCCAGCTGTGAAGAGCTGGGCTCACATCTATCCTGCAGGAATACATGAGAAGCAAAAAAATACCTGCCCAGTACCATTTGTGCCTGAATGATATCTTAGAAAACACTGTAAGGGGGGGAAATTTGTTATTTCTGTGATGCTTTGCTGAAGGAGGTCAATATTAGCCCATTGTGTTCAAACCTTCTTAATGCCTGAGTCCCAGG